GTCTGTAAATTCTGTTTGCACCTGAATTTCTGGTCAGCCCCAGCAGCAGCCAGGCCCTTTAGAGCCGAGCATCTCTTTTTCCTGCCTGTGAGGGGAGCTGGTACACGAGGGAAGAGTTCATATTTCTGAAGAAGTGCACCTGACACCGCAGTGTTCACTCCAGCACGGCTCCTGTAGCACGGCTGAACCTCTAATGAGACGATTATTGTGACTGTTTCCAGGTAAATCAGGCATTTCGTTTCTTTGACATAGAGAACAGCACTCTATATGAGAAACTGGAGAGAAAACATTTCTCATTTTAAATAAGCAACTATTGGCACTTTTGCTGCCTTCTCCCCACCTTCTATTTTTGCTCAGTTTTCAAGGAAGTATTGGTATTTTTCCTCTCTTACTTTTATTTATACACAGCTAACATGTATTAGCAATTAACTCATTGCTAACTACCAAGTTACAAATGCTGTTATAACTAAATATTACTTATCAAAGAGACAGGCTGGGATTTAGGAGCAGTAACGTTGGTAAATACTACATTGCAAAACCAGACTCTACAGTAGGTTACCGTAAGTTCTTTGAAGGCAGCAATGCCTGGAGCACTTCACTCCCTCAGCCATAAACAAACACACACAATGCAAACATACACAGTGCAAAATCTCCAGTTAATTCTTTCTTTCTCACATTTCATCTTCCATTATTATTTGGTGTCATGAAAACAGTGGAATTTTAACTGCCAAGAAATACAGTGTGGTGTGAGATTGTAATGCCAGCTGCATCCAGGTGCCTGTAAGGTGGGATCTGGGACAGGCAGTGACACGATTGGTCTGGATGGGCTAACTGATATAGAAACTCTGAAGAGTGGCTGATCATCTCAGGCTCCCTCTGTGGAAATTACTTTCTCCCCATGTCCTAGGAGCTGTTTTAATGGCGCCCACTTCTTCTCAGTTCCGAAAAAGGAAGCCTGGAGCAATCCTACCTTATAAAAGCCCAACTTGAGCCCATCAGCCTTGCCTGGAGTCTGGAAGCAGTGGTGGATGGCAGGAGAGCTGGAGCAGGGACAGGAAATCAGTCAGGGTCTCCCAAATACCAAAGTACTGGAAAGAATGGGGACTGGCTGTTACAGATTCCTAGAGAGCATCTCTAGACTGTTTTTAGACTCAGGGATTTTTTCAAGTGTTTAATGATGTTTTAATACCTTTATTCCTAAGTCAACAAAATATTTGCATTCATCCAATGGAGCAACAGAAATAGGGCTCATATTGAGTGCTCTGAAAAAGCCCTAGTGCATTCAAGGAGTCCTCAGTGCTCAAACCTCGGTATTTTTTAAATCAGCTGGAATCTACAATGATAGCTGCTGGAAAGACACATGAAGAAGAAAAAGTTCTTGCGAGTCTCATCCAAATTGTCCTTGCTTGGTTCAGCACTCCACTGTGCTCTGTGGCTCTCACACTGATGCTTTATTTAATTTTGTTTCAGCATGCTCAGCCATTCCTATGAGACTTTATCCATTAGCACAGTGGTCCACTAAGGTTTTTCAGGGCCATCCATATAAATCAAGTTTCACTTTTGCGTTTTGGCCATTATTCCTTACCTCACCTCCTCTCCATCCAGAAGTCAAGAAGAATTGTATTTTTTCCAGAAAGGATCTTACAGGATTGCCTGTAGAGGATTTGAAAGGCATTGGTTGATGTGCTAATACTTGCACTTGCAATAATTGAGCCTTAAAAGTACAAGCTATGATGACAGATCACAATTGATCTGCCTAACTATAGACACTGAATCAGCGTGTACCCCTGATTGCCAACAGAGAGGATGTGAGACAGCTTCAGAAGGCAGCACACTGACCTTTCCTGCAGCACTTCTCACCTGGTAAATAAATTTAAAATGCACTTTCGCAGAAACAGGGTTTACACTTCTTGGAAGAAGCACCCTGTGTCATTTTACCCTCTGTCTTGCAGGCAATTCAGGAAGAAACCGAGAAAAACTGTCTGAATGACCTTGAGCTGCAGGTGGTGTGTGAGAGAACACATAGGGATTTTACCTACAAGCAAGGAGGATGAAACATTCTACCATGCAATTCTACTGGCAATTTCTACTGTGATGGGAACAAGGAGGACCAGTAGTTGGTACTTTCAGTAATGGTTTGGGTGAATGACACTAGGAACACTAGGGTTCCAGAACACTAGGAAACAGAATTAAGGTTAAATTTGAGTTTAAGAACAAGGGCAGGGTATTTAGTTCAGGTAGAAAGGATTAGCTGCCCTGTTGTGTGATCACAGAATATTCTGAGCTGGGACAAGCATTATCAAGTCCAACTCTTAAGTGGGGATCAAATGCACAACCTCAGTGTTTTTAGCACCGTGCTCTAACCAGTGGAGCTACCTCAGGGGATGGAGAGTAAGCAGCTCAGGAGAAGCTCTGCATAGCGTGGGACCAACCTGCACCGTCAGCAGAGCCAGTGACATTGTACCTGAGCAAAATGGCAAAGACCCTGGCAATGTGTAACTAGGAATAAGGCCTTGAATAGATCTTCTTCTGCTCACATTGAACAAGGCCAAATGACAGCCCTGCATTCAGCTTTGGGCACTGTTCCCAAGAAGACACGGACCATGTAGGAAGATATCAGAGGAAAGCAGCAGGAATTGTCAGAAAAGAAAATGTATGGGAATAAACTGTATGAAAGGACACAGCTGAAGGAGAGGTTCAACAGTCTTTCTATGCATGAAAGCCTGCAGAACAGTAAAGAATAGTCTGTTCCTCATAGCTGTGACTAGTACCATGAAAGGGATGGGGATTTAACTACAGCAAGGAACACTAAGGCATTAGGAAAACCTTGCAGATAGTAAGAGTAGTGAAACCTAAAGTATTGCTTGGGGACACTGTGAGATGTTCGTCACAGAAAGTCACAAGGACAGGTCAAACAGTCTTTCTGTAGTGTGATTTCCTATAACCAACAAAGCAGCAGGAAAGCAGACCTAGACAGGTCTATCCTGTGTAAGATGGCAAAAAACAGAAGAAATTTTGTTTACTGCAATATGGTGTAAACCTAGCCAATTCAAAATGAACAAAATCCCAAGACAGTGCAAGTTTTGCAGACATTACAGTTCATATCTGGAACTAGCTCAAGACTCAGCATTATGGTGCTGTGGTTCTTCACATGGGCAGAGGAACTCAGATAATTTTTATTGCCTTCAAGCAGAGAGTGGTGGGAAATGACACAGTTGCTTATAACAACCATCACTGGATGTCACTGGGGAAACAGAGCCCCCAATCTCCACCATTTCAGAGCATGAACAGGAGGAAGGAACTCCCCATAAATGTGCCAAATAGGAGGCACTAGAATGTTCTCTTGACACACTAGGTGTCTTGGGTTCAGGTGGCTGGGCTTTTGGTAGTAGGGAGGATCTATGGCCTCCCTGCTGTGCTCAGCCCCATCAGCTTTTCCCACCTGCCACTGGCTTTCTGAGCATTGCTCCCTACCAATGTCTGCCCTTCTCTCTCGCTGCACTCTGAGCTTTAGTCTACTCTTCTGCCTTCAGGGTCCCCTTCCAGGGTGCAGACACAGTGCAATGCTTGTTCCTTTGGTTCCTGAATGTTTGTAAGGCACTATGAAATAGCATTCCCCCATATGCCCTGTTAGGAGCTCTCCAGTCTTGGCAAAGTGGCAAAGAAGCTGAACAGTTATTGCTCTCACCACAGTGTTTAAGGCCATGATGCTGGTTATTTCTGTCCCTGGTTTAGAATAAACTCCCCTAGTCACCCCAATTTCAATGAGCGTAGAGATGGGAAAATATCTAAATTCTCCTCTGCACAATATCTCTGTGCTCATATAGGGTCAGTAATGGGCAGGAAGGAACCTGAGTCCTGCACTGTGCCTCTGGGCACAGAGGATGGATCATGGCTTGTGTGCATACTGAGGGATATCTCTCTTTACATGCATCTCTGAGTGCCTCACCAAAGGGCAGAAAGGAATCTTTACTCCAAAGACAGAGGAAAGAACAGTCAATTTTTATGCTGACTTTTGATATCAGGCTGGTTCCCCTTACAGCTCTATGTAGGACAGCTCTAGCCAGGCAAACAGCTGCATCACTTGCTGTGTACATGCCAGAACAGTGACACTTGCCACTGGGTTTTGTTCTGCATTTAGGTGAGGACAGTGCACTGCTATCATGCTTAACTTTGTGTTAGACGGTGAAAGTAGCCAGGCCCATCACATCTTCCTACATTTTGACGTTTCAATTTAAGAAATACATTTCCCAGATTTCTAAGGAAGCTGCAAACCAGCAGTGGGGTTGATTTTTAATTTCCTTATTCTCTGCCATTTACTCACACATGCTTGCATTACATGTACTCAATTACCAGCCCATCAGAAGTGTGATACATCAGAAGAAAATGAATGAGTGATGACTGGTGAGGATGTTACTCTGAGATCACCCAGATTTGGGGGTAAATGGGAAAACCAGAAAATGTTACAAGCAGCATGAAAAACGACAGACTGACTATTTGTTTGATATTTGTTAACTTTACTATTTGAGAAGCATGTGTGATGCACAGCCTAAATCCTTTGTTATGATGTTGCCTTGACTTTGGGGAGAACATGAAAACAAACGCAAGTTTGTCTTGAGAAACCTCACACATCCCAGGCATGGCTTTCTGGAATAATCTATGTAACAGTCCACTGACAACAGTTCCTGTGAGGAGGAAGTTACAATTACCAGCAGTCACAGAATCATAGAATCTCAACAACCCCAGCTCCCTCAGCCTCTCCTCACAGCACTTGTGCTCCAGTCCCTTCCCCAGCCTGGTTGCTCTTCTCTGCCCCTGCTCCAGCCCCTCCATGTCCTTCCTGACCTGAGGGGGCCAGAGCTGGACACAGCACTCCAGGGGTGCTGAGTGCAGGCCAAGAATCCCTGCCCTGCTCCTGCTGCCACACTCTTCCTGAGCCAGGCCAGGATCCCTTGGCCCTCCTTGTCCCCCTGGGCACACTCTGGCTCATGTTCAGTCCCACCTCTCTGAAGTCAGCTGTCCACTTAGTTTTGCAAAGGGAGTTTCTTCCTTGGGGTTTACATCAGGCTCACTGCTAGGAAAGGGACTGTCTGGGGAAGCATTATTCTCCTTGAAGTCTGTGTTCAAGTCTCAAGCATTGCTGCCTGCAGTATCCTGAAAAATTCAGGATTATCTCATGACTGCAGGGCAATGCAGTCCTTGTCCCTGGCTGTGTCCTGCTCTTTGCTGCAGGACCAAAACTCATCCCAAAAGTGGTTCACATTCATCACTGCTGCAACAAGTGACAGGCTCATGAGAAAACAGTGTACTCTGTCCTGGAAAGCCTGGCCTGCATCCAAGCACGTACATACACTTGGACAGGTGAGGATTCCAGAAGTACAACATTACAGCGGCAACTCTTAACTTTATGCTAGCACCTCATCAGAGGTGACATTTGGTCACCATCATACCTGAAGCAGGAGTGAGGAAGAAGCCAGGTGGGTGGGTCACTCACAGAATACAAACCAGGACGGTGTGGTATAATGATGGAATAACCCTAAAAAGACAAACATCCAAGCTGCAGTAAACCAAAGCTTTCCCCAGCTCGATCCACATAAAATTACACTTTTAAAGTGGTCACTTCATTTACCCAGTATCACCCTGTGCTTGGGGGAAGAGACCTGCAATACACATTTAAAGCTCTAAATCGCCTCCCTCTCAGATACACGGCATAAAGGGTTATTACAGGCTGCCCAGAGAGGTTGTGGCTGGAAACATTCAAGGTCAGGTTTGACGGGGCTCTGAGCAGCCTGATCTGGTTGAAGATGCCCCTCGCGGCAGAGGGGAGGGACTAGGTGACCTCTAAAGGTCCCTTCCACCCAAGCCATCCCCTGGTCCTGTGACAAACGCCCGTGTCGGTGCCGGGGGGTTCCCCGCTCTGCGCTGGCCGGGGCCCCGCAGGGCAGCGCCGCGAGGGAGCCGTGCCCGCCCCGCCCAGCGGCGCCCGCCGAGCCGGGGCGATGCCGCCGCAGGCCCCGGCCTCCAGCTCCTGCCCCTCGCCCCCGTTCCCCCTCCTCCGCCGGCGGGTCCTGGGGCTTCTCCCGGGGCCACAGTGGCGAAGCTCTCGGCAATCCGTCCCCGGGAACCAACTTCAGCCGGGGCTCCGCGGGCGCCCCCGCGCCCGGCCGGGCCGTGCGGCGGGGAGAGCCCGCCCCGTCGGCAGCGCTCGGGCCGCGCCCCGGCCGCCCGCACTCACCCCGCGTCCGCGCCGTCCGCTCTCCCCGGCCCCGGCAGCGCCCGCCCTCAGGACCGGCAGCGCCGGCGGGCTCTGTCGCGCTCCGCGCCCCTCTGCGCTGCTCCTCCGCTCCGCTCCCTGCTCCGCTCCGCTCCCTGATCCGCTCCGCCGCTCCCCTGCTCCGCTCTCTGCTCTGCTCCGCCGCTCCCTGCTCCGCTCGCTGCTCCGCTCCCTGCTCCGCTCCCTGCTCCGCTCCCTGCTCCGCTCCCTGCTCCGCTTTCTCCTCCGCGCCGCGGGGGCCCGGCCGCTCCTCGGCGCGGCGGCAGCAGCGGCTCGCTCAGCGTCGGGGGCCGGGCCGGTGCTGTGCCCGCGGCTGGGTCGGGCAGCGATCGGGCAGGGACCCCGGCCCAGCCTCCAGCGGCCCCTGCGAGGGCAGCCCCGGGTGGGCGGTGGGCGCCGGGGCAGCGCTGCCCCCGGGGGGCGGGGTGGGCTCTGCGATCCCCTCCCAGGAGGGAATCCCCTGGAATCCCCTCCGCACCGGACCCCGCTGCGCCAGCCCGGGCCGTGTCCCTGGTGCCGCGAAGCGCGGCTGTGCCAGGCTGCGGGGTCGGAGACCTCGCGCTGTTCCCGTTGGTTCGAGGATCAATAACTTGCAAGATAACAGCGATGAGCGGCAGCGGAGGCCCCGCCGATAGCCGAGGGTAGAGGGAGGACTGTTCAGACCTCACCTGGATGGGCTTGACCCTACTGCTGCATCAGCTTTGCTCTGACCCGGGGCTCGCAGCCCCCTTTGCAGAGCAGCCCTTCTGCATCCAAACCTAAAAGACCCAGAGCGTTAATCCAGCTTTTTTAGGCTATGCAGTTAGTGGGGTTTAAGTGGTTTAATTGCTAATGAGAAATAAAAGCTCTTTTTTTTTTTTCAGAGAAGCAGTAACTTTTCACACTAGACAAAACTTTTACATAAAAGTAATTCAAAATCCAAGGTCTTGAAAGAGCAATGCTAAAGTCACAGCCCCTTTGTGGCATCGTTTAGGGTTCTAAATAGATTCTAAATTAGCCATTGCCGAACAGCTGTCTCCATTTCCCTCTTGCAGCTAATTTACATACTGGATTCTTTCACAATACAGATAATTTCATGATTTTTGGACACTACTACTGTTGATAGCCAGGCTCTGCCCTCTCCGCCACACTGTCTTAGGGGATGGTTTTTGACCCTGAGCCCAGGTCTGCTCTAGCTGCCCTCAGCTCAGTCTCAAAAATATCACACTCTCTTCAAGTATTTCAAGGGGTTTGGTTCCAACTTCAACACTTCAGCACTGGCTGCTCCCACAGACAGGAACATTTCATCTATACTCCACTGCAGTTTAGATCTTAGAACGTGCTTTTGAACCTGAAGAGGCTGGGTATTGTGTAAGCCATAAAGCTAAAGCCTCATTTGAGACCGAGAGGAAAAAGGGAGCTTTTTAAACTGCAGCCACATGGTGTGAATCTTATACAAAAAATAATTCCCTGCAGCAACACTTCACTTCCAGGCTGGGAAAGGACACATGGTGAATCTTTTGAGCCTCCAGAATTTCCCTGAGACAGACAGAGACAAGAGTAGCTACAATACATTTTCTTCGAAAGTCTGAAGATGCCTCTCAGTTTATTTTCTTCCCAAACAATGTGGGTGTTGTTTCGTGGGTGGGAATTTGTTTGATGTGATACAATGTGCAAGGAAAGAGGTTGGTTCTTTTATATCTCCAGCTGAGGAATAAATTCTACCCCTGTGGTAGAGATACGCCAGGCAATCTTGCAGAGCTTTGCAGCAGAGTGCAGGCTGGTCTGGGGGCTGCGGCCACCCCAAGACAGCTGCTGAGCTACTGCTACCCTGCAGTCCCTTGTCAGGAGAGGGGAACTCATGGGCCACAGGCAGAGGCTAGATTCCTCCTAGCACAGGAAAAACATTTGCTGTAAAGTCATCATTCTGCCATCCTAGGGCTTCACAGGTGTCAGTTATTTTTCACAACCATCAATTCTATGCAGGAAAAGGAAATGTATGGTGTCTTTCCTTAGGCTGACTGGGAAAATCAGAAAAAATTTTGGGATGCAGACTGGTCTGATTCTCCAGACACTCTTTTGCCCCATAAGTGCTATAGCTCATTTTTCTTATGCTTTACAAGGTCCAAATCAGTGTTGTATTTAATATCCTGTGTTGAATGTGCTTAGAAAAATAACACTACTAGTCTTTTGTTTGAGATATGTTGTCTTCCTTTTTGTTCAGGCAGGTGCACAGAAAGAATTCATGCACACAGACCCAGTACGAATGTGCATCAGTAAGACAGGCAGATCTACAAATAAAGGAGATCTACAAATAGATACAGATCTACAAATAAAGAAGCCTTTGAAACAAGTCTACTCTTTTGCTTAACACTAGGGAAATAAACCATAGCTGCGTTGGCAAGGCTGGCAGAGTCACAGCAGTGTGTTGGCGATGCTTAGTCTATAGACCCCCATGTTGAAGTTGCCAGAGCTGTACAGCAGTGGAGCTCAGGCCCATTTGCACCCACTTGGTACTGGCTGAGGCAGGTCCTTGGGAGAAAATCTGAACATCACACACAGCTTTTAGTGAGTTTCTTCCTTTAATCCAGTTATTTTACTTTCACAAGACTGATTTCAGTTTTCCTTTTCAAATTGAACCCATCTCAGCAGTCCTATCTCTAATCTTGTTTCCTATTTTGTGTGACTCTCAGAATTTCTCACTGCTGTTGTTCACAGCTTAAGCTTTTCCCCAGCACCCTGAGTCAAGGTTACGATGCAGCTGAGTCTTCAGTCCTTGGGACTGCAGGAGGGTGTGGGTGGGATGGATAAGGGTTACAGACCCCTACAAGGAGAATTAAATCTCATTCCTTAGAATCCTGAATGAATACCTCACCATATCGACCAGACTGTTGATTGCTCTAAAGCTCACCACCTTAGAGCATCTCCTGGATGTCTGATCTCAAAGGGATCAGGTTTTTATTCTCTTACTGCAGAAGAAAGTCTGAAAACTTCATATTTTCACGATGTGGGAAACAGTTTCCTTTCTTGGTATAACTGGAAGACCATCAAAGGCAAAATGGATGCTTTCCTTCCCAAGGGTATTGGCTGTCCAGGCTGTCCCAGAGTGAGCCCACCATCTGTGGTCTGAGCCCTGCTCTGGTCTGATCTAGCTCAAGTTCAAATACATTGGGGTGATGTTGCTTTTCCTGCTGTGACTTCTCTATGAAGTGGAATAATAGTAACTACTTAACTTTCCCAGAAATGCTGGAGAAGTGTTTTTACTTGTTTGAGCTGGCAGGAGGGGTGGCAATCAGTAACAAAGGGTTCTGCAGGACTAATCTGGTTCTGGTTAAAGACTGCTGAGTTACACTGAGAACCAGCACTGCTCACACAGGTGAGAGACACACAGCACCACTCACACGAGTCCAGGCAAAAACTCTGAGACTGGAATTGTTTTGCTGCCCTAGCTGAAGTTCTCCAGGAGCTGAAAACTGTGCTGGTCACGTTGTCCAGCAGATGGGAGAGACAGGAGACCAAGCAATTGCAGTGAGTTCAGCATGGAAGCTGTCACGTGAATTCATCCTCCTCACAAGATGGGAAATGACATTAAAATGGCTGTGGCCTGGATGGTGTTCAAGTAAAAACACCTCCTTCCTCGTCAGCAGCATGGCTCCCTGCAGATGCACCTCAGTCAGATCCATTGCTTATGTAAACAGAGATAATTCTTTTTCCCTCTGTAGATCTTGCCAAGTGCAGGCTAGAGAAGAGGGGAGGCAGATGTCATTCTGAGAATTAGCCTGAGTACTTCGAACTTGAGCTTTTGCTCACTGTTAAGCTATGGTCAGAACACTAATACATGGGACCATCCTAATTTTCATCCTAATTTTGCCCATTGCTAGTTTACTTCTATTTCTTCTGCATTCAGCGGCTCCTTCTTTGACATTTACCCTTTGTGATTAACCAATCAACTATTTTCTGAGGCAACAAAATGTACTGACTTCTTGTGACAGAAATTTACTTTGGTCAAGAAAGGCAAATGCATCATGTGAGGTCCCTCCTTTTGGCTCAGGAATGTGCTCTTTGGTATTTGATGTCACCTTACTTTATCATTGAAAACGGAATTAAAGACATGGACATTCCAAAAAAGGAGGAAACTCTTATTTTTCCTAGATGAGTCATTTTCCTCTGAATTCCACTTTTTTGTCACGTTCCAAACCTCACAGTTAGACACTGGCATATGGAGAATTCTTCAGGCACCACTTCTCTACAGAAGGTGTATTTTGGCTTTTAAGCTTTATTCTCAGTCTTGCAAAGGACCATAGCCCACAGCCCAGTTGATGCTTCCTTCTCCTGAGGCTGCTCTCTTTCCCTTCTCTTTATCAAGTAGAGAAATGCTAAGAAATTTGTACAGTATCAAAATACAAAACCTGTCTTATAATTGCTGAGGTAACTGGTACCAGAGCCTGAAACTGCTTGACAGCTGTCTTCCCAAAGAGTTTTTCTTGAACCTGTTTCAAACTTCGATGCAGAAGATGGCTGAGAAAGACAGCCATCTCCCAGAAAGTTGTGTGTGCTCACTGAAGCTCCATGAGGTCACAGCTCTTATTTACACATTTTAAAAAATATCATTTTGTTACAGGTGGACACTCATTTTCTTCCACAGGGAAGAGGAATTCTGTCAGCACTGTTCTTCCACTGACTTAGTGAGGCATTTTTCTGGACAGCGCATGGTTCTGACATCAGATCTATTGACAGTACACCAGAGGACACAGGGGCAGGAGGGGCACTGGACCACATTGCCTGAGGAGAGGCTGAAGGACCCGGCATGTTCATTTTGGAAAAGATAAGGCACACTGGAGTCCTTCTCGTCTTCAGGACTCCTCTCTTGCAGCAGCCAGTGGCAAGTTCCCCATAGAGATACAAGAGGAGATACAAGGACTCCCTGTAACAATCCCTCAGCCTTGGCCATATTGATCACCACCATTGCTCTACCCTGGCCTCCAATCGGGAGGCCTGGAGACACACCATCTATAACACTGCTGCTGCTGCTTTTGAGAACACACGCAGGATCACTCTGGAGGAGAAAAGACAACGCAGAAAGAATCGCGTCTTGTCGATATCACCTGGGGAGTCTTTCTGCTGCACCTTCTGCAACCGGACTTGTCTATCTCACATTGGCCTTTTTAGCCATCAGCATGCTTGTAGCAAGCGTGGGTAGAGCCCTGCCCAAATCTTCGTTCGCGAAGCCCCAGCCATGGTGAAGGCACAGCGGGATCCAACTGCAGTCTGCAGTTAACTCAGGGGGTTATAGAAGATGGGCTTTTCCTCAGCTGTGCACAGTGGAAGGACAACAGACAAAAGTCACAGCAAGGGAAATTACAACTAGACCCTAAGGAGAGTGGCAGCTCCTGCCCATCACACTGTCTCACTGGAGATTTTCCAGTTGTCATAAAAGGAGTGAAGCAAAGGTGTGAATTCCTTACAGCTCTGGGAAGTGTCAGGAGTGGGGCGGGGAAACGGAATGGTGCAGATCAACTCGCTGAGTGATCGAGCAGATATCTGGACTTGGAGGCAAGCTGCAAGTATCCTGATCTGTAACCAGCCTTGTAATCCACGGCAACACTGCAGGCAGGGGAAGGAGAGTAGCAGCACTGCTTGGCATAGCAACAGCTTTGAATGATTCATGGCAGGATAGCAGATTCATGAGCAAACTCCTGACAGGGTCCTTCTCCTGTGATTTCCAGTAACTGCCTCTGCCAGTTGATTCTTCTGAGGCAAAGACAACCAACCTCAAAGCTCTCAGTACTGGCTACAATGAAAACACATAATGTCACACTGTCAATGAGGAGCTTTTCTTTTGGATCCCAACCATCTAGTGAGACTCACATGACTTTTCCATTTGTCCTGCAGCTGGTGTCTCAGGAACAAAGTGATCCATGTCAGACACTATGAAACACATCTGGCTGAGACTCTATTTCTCATGTTCACACTTAGAAAGTGGATATTAAAACACTGAAAGCATTTTAAATCGTTTGAATTTGAATCAGGAGCTCTGATGCTCACCTTCACAGATCTAGTAGACTCCATTCATCTAATATCAGAAAAAAACACCTTCATGGAAAAATAGGGTTTGGGAAATAAACTTGGTTTTATTTTATTCTTTATGGAGATGCTATGTTTAACAGCTATAAAGGTCTTGGCACATCTGTAGTGTATTTGTGCTTAACCAGACACTGCTACTTTTGGTCTGTGTCTGGCTCAGCCACCTGCGAGAGTCGTTTCTTTTCCTGCCAAGTTGTGAGAAAACAGGCACTGAGAAACGAGAACTTCATCCTTAAAGGAAGCATCTTGTATAAACTAAATTTAATTGGTGACTGACTATTGGCTGATGGCCCTCCAAGGGCATTTGAAGGAGAAAGTGAAGGGTGATGAAGTGAGTCCCCAGACTCATTTAGAGAAGACCCCCCACAGGCACGGGAAAATTCCAATGTCCACACCTTGGTTGTGCAGAAGGGGCACCACTGAGAGCCCGGGGGAGGGACCGAAGGGCTCTGGCTGGGCGGTGCTGCCATTCCTGCCCCGGGAGACATCACCAACCAAAATATATAAAAAAGCAGATGGCTCGTGCTCAGGCACTCACACTTCACATGGAGGACAATGTTCCTTTGCGGGGACACCCACTCTCTTGTGAGCCTGCTGACCCTTCAAGAATGCAACATCTGCTATGGGGAATTCTGGTTATTTTGGAGTCGGTAAGACACCCTCATAAAACACACCTGTGTGAGTGGGGGTTTTACTGAGGGCTTATTTCCCTCCTCTTCTTTCCTGTCTCTGGGTTTCTCATTTTGTTGGCCAATTCTTTGTAATAAATATTGTTTTGTTGAGCTTTCAATAGTTTCAGTTTCGGCATTCTCCCAGCTACAAGTAGTACACAGCTTTTTAATTTTGCACGGCAGTTGCCTCTGTCAGGGCTGTACCAGAGTCCTGTACCCTGGGAGCCCTACCTGGGTTTCCTAGCCCTCACACTGCTGAGGGGAAGATGGACTGTCAGGTCAGAGACTTTCACTGCTGAGACCGAAGGCTCAGATTGGAGCCCCTCCACAGTGGGTGGCTCCAGTGACCAACCTGACTCCCCACACAGCCCACACTCACACAGTCAGACCAGGTTTCCTCACCAGTTCCATCCCGGGTTTCCCACAGCAGAGCCTCAGATGTCTCGTTCCATACAGCAATTTATTCACAGGGCAGTAACACAGAAACAGCTCCGAGCTGGTGCCTCAGAGGAGGGACCCTGAGCAAAGGATCCCTGGGCTTTTATACCCTCCCAGTTTACCTGCACACAAGTCTCACTTTTCCTCCTGAGTCTCCCGCTTCTGCTGTGTATCCCAGTGTCGATTCCCCTGGCTGGCACCACAGTTCTTCGTGCCCTTTGTTATGCGAAGGATCCACAGTTCATGGCCTCTCGTCTCGGGCTCTCACCCAGAGCTCAATCTGCAGCCGGCACTGCAGCCGCACACCGAGCGATCTGCACCAGACACATTCCTCAATCTGCACCAGACACATTCCTCAGCAGCACGACTCCGGTGTTTGCCTTTGGGCTGCTCGGAGCCAAAGGGCAAGGCAGCAGTCTACCAGGAACTGGGGGACAAAGCATCCAGGATTCACTGAATTGGTCTATTTTTAAATTTAAGCTGTCACCAGCTGTAATTGCAACTACTGCTTCCTCTCAGGTAAAACCGTCTAGAAGCAGGGCAGGACGTCCTCTGCACCCCCCTGCCAGTGGGACAGAAATTGCGTGGGCTGTCCTGTGAGTTTCACTCCAAAAGAGATGCTGAGACAGAGTACTGAGAGCCTGTGCAACATGTCCATGCACAGTGTGGGATTGCCCTGGCCATCACTGGCTGGGCCTGGGGTCTCTGTAGGTAAAGCGATCGTCAGTCACAGCGTGGAAAGGAAAGGGCTCTAAATAGGCTGAGTCGATATTTAGTTCTTTTGACAGCAATCCCTGCATGCAACATCCAAGAATCTTGGATTTTGAGCTGCCTTTCAGCTCTGTTGTTTTGGCAAATCCTCTGTAGAGGAAATGTCCTCCTGCCCCAGATGCTCATTAATGGGAAGGCTATTAAATAAATATTTGTATTCTTGATTAAAAGTGATAGATTTGTGTTTGTCCTTTGCCATCCTTCCCTTGCCTTGCAGGCTATTATGAAGTTGAGTGAAGAGAAGGACAAGAGATAATAGCAAATACTGAAGAACTTCGATTTTATTTAGAAAAACACTTGTCCCTATCAACTCCTATTATGTCCCTACAAATATGTTTTGCTAAGAGAAATTAAAATATTCAGAGCTGTGTGTCGTGGTTTTGCCCCTCAGCCCATCCCTGGGGCTGATGATGGTTTTGTCCAGGTAATTTCCGGACAAAAAGACCAATCAAAAGTCCAGAAACGCCTTTGCTAATTACATCTTCAAGAAAACGGAAGAGAAGGTTGTTGGCACAGTTGGAATTAGAGTAGCAGCCATGTAGAGGAGAGGAGTACCAGGCCTGAACAGGGCCAGACTCCCTCCTCCCCCGGCTTGGGCCGGGGGGGGAGCAGGTGCAGCACTGAAGTCTTCCTTTCTCTCTTGTAAGAGAGTGAAGAGAAAAAAAAGTTTAAAAGACGGACTGCTTGGACAGAAACCGCTGTGGAAGAATTCCAGCCGAAAGATAACGGAGCTTCCAAAGTCGGAGCTGGCAACCGAAACTGCAGCAAAGAAAAGTAAAGTGCAAAAAGAGGAAGACTTTTTTCCCCCCTGCTTTTCTGCTTTCTTTCCTTAGCAGGGAAAAGACTGAAAAATAAACCCTGCTACTTATAAAGTGTGCTGGAGTAAGGAAACCTCCCATGCAGCTGATAAAAGAATTTGTGGATGTACTAAAGAGAACTGAAACTTCATAAAGAGAACTGAAGTGAGACAGGGTCCTGGTGGAGATTTGCAACCCTGAGGGAAACCTGTGCTGAAGCAGTGATGACTCAGGTGAGATACTGAGATCCGTGCGTGTGTGGATCTATACTGCTGTTAAAGTTTTTGTGACTCTGAAAAATCTTATGTTGGAGCGAGACGGCCCATGTGAGATATTGGAATCCGTGTGTGTGTGGATTCGTGCTAGACCTATGCCGAGAAGTCTATCAAGGACTGTTCTCCCATGGGGAGGGACTCTATAGGGGAACAGGGGTGAACTCTTAAACCATTATCCCCTGTAACCCTGTGGAAGAAGATCCATAATAAGCAAGTGTCCCCTTGCAAGCCTATGGAAGGAAAACCCTTCGGGACTTGAGTAATTTCCATCCTTCAGTCTTAGCCCAGGAGGGGGGTAAGCCCAGCCCTGGAAGCCAACACAGAACGAGAGAGAGAGAGAAGAAATTCCAACTGCAATGAAAGTGCTGCTGCTGCTGAAGATCTGTTACTAGAGGGAAAAAGCTGGAACTCCAAAGATATAGAATGAGACTACTTCTTCTCCTTGGACTAGTATAAAAGGGAAGAAGTATTTTGTGTAAATATATAACACTTCAACTTGAGTAGAAATTGCTATAGATATAATTCTTTAATCTTTAACTTATTAGTAGTTTTTATTTTACTAGTAATAAATGTATATACTGTTTTCCCCAAATCCTGTCTCTCTTTTATCTGCAAATACCTTCTCTCAACTAGTAGTAATTGTGTGGAAGGTGGAAGGCAAAATTGACCCAAAGCAAAACCACGACATTTTTTGGTGGAGAATGCGGGCAGATGCGGGCAGA